ATCCTTCCTGAAGTTTCCTCTTGGTAGTGAGGAAAGGGGTGGGGATGAAATGCCTGAGACTGTCTCTGGGAGAAGGGGGTGATGGGGGTGGCTAAAGGGGGGACCCCTTTAAAATCTTGAGTTGGAAGCTTTCACCCCAAGTCCTGTTTAGAACGCCTGCAACCATCTTCTCTTAATAAAGATGCCTATTGGAAGAAATGTTCCAAGAGTTCTGTCTTCTTAAGATGCGAGCCCCATAGGATGATCTCCAATATGATGTTGAATTATGTTAAACAATCTTTATATGCTTCTACAAAGTTGGAAAAGTGAAAAATAGGACAATATACTATTCATCAAACTCTCATGAAGGAGTATACCAAATCCATAAGGGTTTTAGATATGTAAGAACAAAATAAAACATGTAACAAATTTAAAGATATATTACATCACAGTTTTGGCAATGCAGATCTTGTGGCTTCACATTGGCCTAATGTTTGGACATTCTTGTTTCTTCAAAGTACTATAGCCAAAGGCTCACCCATTCCCTTACTTATCACAGGATTATAATTTTTAATTTTATATAAATTAAGTTATAAGAAAAATGTGTTACTTTTTGCTACTGTAAGCATATGTTCAATTCAGTTCAGGTTTATTACAGGTACTGACCAATCTTTATACAAAGCTAAAATAATAAAATACCAAGAAATTAAGAACAATGAAAAAGAACTAAAGAAATAGATGAATAAAATTCATAAAAACTTTTAAGTGCAGTCTTTACAATACTAAAAGAGAAATAATATGTTAGCAATAAAATATTAATAAAATATAATTAAAGATAAAGGTTTCCCCTTTCCAGTTGTGTCTGACCTTAAAGGGTGGTGGTCATCTCTGTTTCTTACCCAAGGGAGACAGCATAGTCCAAAGATATTTCCATGATCATGTGGCCAGCATGACTGTATGCCGAGGCACACAGAATGCTGTTACCTTCCCACCAAAGTGGTACCTATTTATCTACTCGCATTTGCATGCTTCCGAATTGCTAGGTGGGCAGGAGCTGGGACAAGTAACAGGAGCTCACCCTGTCATGCAGTGCTCATATTTCAAACCCAGGCTATCAGCTTACCAGCTGGCAATCTCACTATCTTTAACCACTGAACCATTGCGCCCCAAAATATAATTAGTTAAGAGCTAAAGTAAGCACTTTTCAAATATCAATTATTAAGAAAAATGGCACAAACCATACTAACATATTTTCACCTTGCTGCTTTCCTTACCAGTAATTCTTCCAAGGTGGCCTTCATAGAATTGGCCCACCAGGCCCCCAACGTGTGCTCCAAGGCTCACCCCAATAAGATGGATGGATGATTCTGGCACCCCCACAGCCTGAAGATTGGGAAGAATAATAATTAGGACTTCAAATTTTTCTTCTAAATGCCCTCAAAACACACAGATAAATCCCCCAACAATCTAACCAATTGGTTCATGTTTTTCTCTGGACTATTTTGCTTAGATGGCAAAAAAAGCAAAATGAAGGTAACTCTAAAAGAGTTAGAGTTTCACATATACTTTATTGCAATAAGACTTTGTTAGTTGTAGCAATACTTTTTAAATTTTATTATGAACAGCATTAGAGAATAGACAAAATACAGAGGAAGTAAGGGTAGTTCATATATGTAGTATAACAAAGGGAGTCTGGACAGGGTTAATCTGCAAGGCAATAATCAGAAACATGGTTGCAGAAATATTATTTTTTTAAATATGTATCATTTGAAGGTAAAAAGGTATATGTGATACCTGTCTACATTTCTTTAAACAAAGTGTGTCTTTTCACAATCACATAATCACAAGGTAATGCAGGTGCTACTTTTGTGTACTTTTGTGTTCCAGAGGATATAGAATCATAGACTCATAAGGCTGGAAGGGACCTCGGAGATCTTCTAGTCCAACCCTCTCCCTGAGGCAGGAGTTCTTACTCCATCCCAGACAAATGGTTGTCCAATCTTTTCTTGAAAACCTCCAATGATGAAGCACCCACAATTCCCAGAAACAAGTAGTTCCATAGATTAATTGCTCTCACTGACAAGAAATTCCTCCTTGGCTCCAGTTGAATCTTTCTCTGATAGGTTTCCACCCATTGTGTCTTGACCTACCTTCCTTTGGAGAATAAGTCGAACACCTCATGTCTGTGACTGCCTTTAAGTATTGGAAGACTGCTATCACGTCTCCCCTCAAAGCTTCTCTTCATTAGGCCAAACATACCTAATTCCCTTAGCTGTTCATCCTATGGTTCCATATCCCTTATTATCTTTGTTGGGCTTTGTCATTTTTTCTAGGGCTTCAGCATCTTTTTTGTATCATGGTGTCCAGAACTGAATGCAGTATTCCATATGTGGCCTCTAATACAATACAGAGTGATATTCTAACTTCTTGAGATCTTGATGCTATCCCTTTGTGATGCAGCCCATTAGCTTTTTTGGCAGCTGCATTGACTTTTCTGGCAGCTATAGCATACTGCTGGCTCATACTGAAGTGATAGTCCACCAGGACACATAGATCCCTTCCACAGGCACTACTGTTGAGCCAGTACTGCCTATTTTGTACCTATGCATATGGTTTTTCCTGCCTAAGTAGAGGACCATACTTTTCTTACAACTGAACTGCATCTTGTTGGATAAGATCCAATGCTTGAGTCTATCAAGATCCTTCTGAAACTTAAGTCTATCTCCCAAGTGTTAGCAATTCTCTCCAGTTTGATATCATCCACAAATTTGATGAGTGCTCCTTCAATCCTCTCATCTAGGTCATTTATGAAGATGTTGAAGAGTACTGGGCCCAAGACAGAATCTTGAGGTACTCCTACTTCATACTTCCCTATATGGGTGTAGTTCCACTGAAGACTATGCTCTGAGTGCGGTTGGTTAGCCAACTGAGAATCTACCTGGTGATGGTACTATCTATTCCACAATGTTCTGTCTTACCAAGATGTTCTTTATTTCTTTACAAATGCCTTATTGAAGCCTAAGTATACTATATCCACAGCATTTCCGTGATCCACTAATTTACTTACTTTATCAAAGAAGACAATAAGATTGGTTTGGCATGGCCTATTTTTAACTATTCTATTCTTTTATTAATTATTTTGTTCATTTCTAGATGCTCACAAATCTGATGCTTGTTTATCTTTTCTGAGATTTTCCCAGGTATTGATGTCAATTTGATTGGTCTGTAGATTCCTGGGTCCCCTTACTTCTCCTTTTTGAACATTGTAACCACATCAGCTCTTCCAATCTTCTGGCAGTTCGTCCATGCTCCAGGAGCTCTGAAAGTTTTCATTCAGTGGTTCTAAGTTTATATCTGCCAGCTCCTTCAGTACCCTGGGATGTAAAACATCTAGTCCCAGAGATTTGAACTCATCCAAAGTGGATAGGTGTTCTCTTGCAAATATCTTGCCTATATTGACCTGCATTCCTGTTTTGTCTCATATGGTGTTGTTTGGACCGGGATCTGTGCCAGACATGTGTCTACTGGGGCGTCCCAAGTAGGTTACAGGACTAGTTTTGTGTGGTGGTGGACCTGGATGCAGGCCTGCAGGAATTCCGACCAAAGGGGGATGGCCCCATGGCGCCATGCAGGGCCATGGAAAGACCAAAGGACAAAGGGCGGAGGACCCAGGGATCTGGTCCGGGTTCCTCTGCAGGTACTCCTTCACCATCGTTTAGATGCTTTTGCTGCAACCAACCGGGACATTGGATGGCGGAGTATCCAGTCCCTGTTCCAGGGGGGAAGCCAGGGACCCCTGGGAGAGCCAGAACCACACCCAAGAAGGCCCCAGAGAAGTCAAGGGCGGCGCACCAGACAGAGAGCCCCACCCCTCAAGGGGGGGTCCTAAAGGAGGAGGAGGCAACATCCGCCACAAGATACCAGTTGGTAGCCTATGACAGCGAGGATGAGGCAGCGGAGGATCCGATGGTAAGTGAACCTGTATGACCATTCATCATCCCCACCGCTTTGACAGGTCCACAAACAAGCCACTGTGGGGAGTACAGGGCCCTAATCGATTCCGGCTGCACCCGTTGCCTGATCAGCAAGGCCGTAGTGGCTGAGGTGGGGATCAGAATGAGGCAGATGGCCAGCCCAGTACAGTTTGAACAGGTGGATGGCTCCCTTCTGGGGGGGCTCTGGCTTCCCTCATAATGGAGCCAGTTCAGCTGGAGATGGGGGCCCATTGGGAGGTCCTCCAGTTTATAGTGGTCCCCTCCATGACAGAGACCATTATCTTGGGACTAGCATGGCTGGACAAGTGGGGCCCTACGATCTGGTGGAAAGGGGGATACCGAAAGTTACGGATGGGTGTTGGCCCTCAACCGCCTGCTCACGAATAAGCAAAAAAGGGAGGAGAGAGAATTATGGAGGCAGCGGTGGGGCAGGGATGTGCAAGGGGGAAAGCCCCCTTCCTGGCAGTGTATGCTGATCTCACCGAGGTGTTCAGCAAGTGTGAGTGTGATGTGCTACCTCCTCACTGGCCAACCGACTGTGCCATCAACATTTTGCCAGGCGCCAAACTGCCAAAACCCCGGATGTATGCGATGACGCCCAAAGAGATGGAGGAGTTGCAATAGTACATTGACAAGAACTTGGCAAGGGGTTTCATCCAGCTGGCACGGTCACGGATTGCAGCTTCGGTGCTCTTTAAGGAGAAAAAGGACAGATCCCTGTGCCTGGGTGTGGACTTCTGTGGCATCAACGGGGTTTGCGTTGAGAATATGTACCCCCTCCGCTAATGAAGGACCTATTGGCCTATTTGGCAAAGGGTAGGGTGTTCACTAAATTTGACCTCCGGGAAGTGTATTACAGGGTCTGAATCAAACGGGGGGATGAGTGGAAGATGGCATTCAACTGCCTGCTAGGAAGTTACCAGTTCCAGGTGATGCTATTTGGCTTGCAGGGAGCCCCTGCAGTGTTCATGCAGCTCATCAATGAGGTGTTGCATGAGCACCTATACCGTGAGGTGCTCGTGTATTTGGATGATATATTGATCTATACCTCCAACATGGCGGAACATGTCTGACTGGCAAGACAGGTGCTAGAAAAACTGCTGAGGGCACACTTGTATGTGAAGCTGTCCAAGTGCGAGTTCCACCAAACCCCGTTGGACTATTTAGGGTACCGGATATCGGGGAAAGGGGTGGAGATGGACCCTGCTGAGGTCAGGGCCATGTTAGAGTGGCAGGCACCACAAACCCGCCGTCAGCTGCAGAGCTTCCTGGGATTCGCAAATTTCTACCGGCAGTTCATCCCCTCGTTTGCTACAGTGGCCCTACCTCTGCACGAGACACGCAATGGCAAGCCTCACCCCGGTCAACCACTGGCGTGGACTCTAGTCTGTCAGAAGGCCTTTGTGGACCTGAAGGCTCTCTTCACAAGGGAGCCAGTCTTACTATATCCTAATCCTGACCTGCTGTTTCTCGTACAAGCTGATACCAGCGACGTCGCAGTCGGGGTGGTTTTGCTTCAGAAGTATGAGCAAGGGACTCTACAGCCCTGTGCTTACACCTCCCATAAGCTGACAGACACAGAACGAGCATGGGCAATATGGGAGAAAGAGGCATTCACAGTATGGTGGGCATTGTCAACTTGGCAACACTTTTTGAAGAGAGCTAAAGAGCCGTTCGAGGTTTGGACAGACCATAAAAATCTTGAGGCTTTGCAGACACTGCGGCGCCTGTCCCCGAAACACGCACGATGGGCACAATACTTCCAATGATTCCACTTTCAGTTGAAGTATGTGCCAGGGATTGTTGGTCTCCTCGTTCGAAGGCATGCCTCCAGGCGATGACCAATAGCTTCAGCTCAAAGTGTTCTTTGAGCATTTTTTAAAGTTCTGAATAAGCAACAGACTCAAGCGGCGCTGGAGCTATTAAGTTTTTGACGATTTCGAATGTCGCCTGGCCACAGACGCACAGCAGAGTTGCAGCCTTCAAACCATCTTCACAAACTTGGTTGACTCTCAGATAATTCTCAACTCTCGTGACGTATGAGCTCCACCTCTCTGGATGTGCGACGTTGAATTCTGAGAGTTTCCCGAGTTTGGCCATGGGGAGTTGTTTTCGGCGTTTTCAGCCCCGCAATGCCTTGTGCTGCCAAGGCTTCTTTTAATCTCCCAGGGACGGTTCCTTGGGAGCGCTCTTCCTCCAGCATTTTCATACTGGCAGGAATGAGGGGGGGAACGCGGCCTTGGCTTACCCCCTTAGTGACTTAGCTCTTCGAGTTTGGCAGCACATCCCACCTTCATCGCCACTGTTATGTTTGGTGCTCGGTGAGGCATTCATGAGGCAGCAGGTGAAACAACAACTCTTTGTTAACAGTTTAAACAGAAGCCTGGC